GAGCAGCTCGGAACCTATCTAATATTACTGAGATTTGAGCTTCGACCTCGTCGTAGTCCATCAAGGTATTAGTAAGTTCATCCTCTGTGAAGATCTCACTCGTTGATCCATAATGAGTTATAGGTTCGGAGTCCAGTCGTTCTTGAATGTCCACCACGCTCTCCACAAAGCTAGTCAAAGTTTGTAATCTTGTTTCAAGTTGTAGCTCCATGAATTCCGTGGTGTTCAATAGTGTAGTTGTATCCTTTATATAAGTCTTCAGTTGCAGTAAGGCAGATTTTAACCGAAGGTCCCATCTTGAAGTCATTTTTGGTTATTCTTGAAGGTGAAGTTCAAAGTTGTAAGTTAAAGTTGTAAAAGGTTTGAGTAAAGAAGTTAAGTTTAGAAAGTTGTAAAAATGTAAAGCAGGAAACCACGCTCTGCTACCATATAGTGAATCCGTGGATTAGTTTAGTTATGTTTGGTTTTCCTGCTTTAAATTAAGTTTAAGTTAATAAATGTAGAATAAATAAAGAGTTAAAATGGTATCAACTTTCTTTCTTTTGTATTAGTTTATTTTTCAAAATTGTTTCCATAGTAACTAAAGTCAAAACATTAAGAAAATAAACTCAGCTGCTCTTATAGATATTGCTTTAGCAACAATTGCTAAAGCAATATCTATAAGAGCAGCTGAGTTTATTTTCTTAATGTTTTGACTTTAGTTACTATGGAAACAATTTTGATAAATAAACTAATACTAAAGAAAGAAAGTTGATACAACTCTTTATTTATTCTACATTTATTAACTTAAAACTTAATTTAAAGCAGGAAAACCAAACATAATTAAACTAATCCACGGATTCACTATATGGTAGCAGAGCGTGGTTTCCTGCTTTAACTTTTTACAACTTTCTAAACTTAACTTCTTTACTCAAACCTTTTACAACTTTAACTTACAACTTTGAACTTCACCTTCAAGAATAACCAAAAATGACTTCAAGATGGGACCTTCGGTTGAAATCTGCCTTACTGCAACTGAAGACTTATATAAAGGATACAACTACACTATTGAACACCACGGAATTCATGGAGCTACAACTTGAAACAAGATTACAAACTTTGACTAGCTTTGTGGAGAGCGTGGTGGACATTCAAGAACGACTGGACTCCGAACCTATAACTCATTATGGATCAACGAGTGAGATCTTCACAGAGGATGAACTTACTAATACCTTGATGGACTACGACGAGGTCGAAGCTCAAATCTCAGTAATATTAGATAGGTTCCGAGCTGCTCATCAACAGACAACTGAACCTGGATCATCTTTACCGTCATCCATTCCAAATTACTGCGTTCAACTTCCAATATGGATTTTACCAATTCCCGATCACAGCCTCAATACTAGTGATGACAAAGATGTCGGATCTAAATTACTTGAAAATGACGTAGTTGAAGCTGAGTCGCTGACAATTGCTGAGGATAAATCATTACCTCATGAAAGCTCAAGTTCTATTCATCAGGAATTGATAGATGACAACGAGGAAACACAGATAAGTTCTATAAATTGTGTGACTTTCAATCTGATACCAGCCGGTGAAGAGGAAGTAGATGTGGTACCAGAAATCATCACTTTAAATGGTTCAAGCAACAACGTCTCACTGGAAGAACAAGCCATGACCTCAGTCAACTCTGTCTATGGTCAGCTGCTTGTGATAGGCTCCTCACAGAATCGAAGCAAGACTGTACTTCTATATCCCCAAAATGAGAAAATCCCTATCGAATCTGTCAGAGCTACCTCCTCTTCTCATTGTCGGCCTTTAGATGACAAACGAATACGAGGCACTCACAAGAAGAAGGACAGCTTGAGAAGAGACAAGATCAACTTGTGGATCATGAAACTCAGAGAATTAGTCCCAGCGTGTTACCAAGACTTGGGAAAATGCAGATATAAAGCCAATGAAGAGTTTCACTACATACTCTATCGTCCAGTAAAGAATAAAGGGGCCCAGAACAACTAGATGTGGGAGTGTTGCTAAAGCAATATCTATAAGAGCAGCTGAGTTTATTTTCTTAATGTTTTGACTTTAGTTACTATGGAAACAATTTTGATAAATAAACTAATACTAAAGAAAGAAAGTTGATACAACTCTTTATTTATTCTACATTTATTAACTTAAAACTTAATTTAAAGCAGGAAAACCAAACATAATTAAACTAATCCACGGATTCACTATAATAACTTCATTTTTACGGAAATGGGGTTTGTACCATTTTGTTCAGAATTTAAAGGATGATAACATACTAAATTTTTTATCAAAACCGTTCAGGCCATACCACTTTTTGGGTTCAGGGGGACCCAAATAGGATATATCCACTGAAAACTCAAATTCGAAAATTTTGATGAAAACAATGCTAGCCTACTTTCTCCATACAGTACCTATGTTAGTAGGGGGAGATGGTGTACATCTTAATTTAAGTGATCTTTAATGTTGCGTTATAGAAACTAGTTTCTAGACTAGTTGGAGTCATTTTCAGGCTAGTACTTAGGCTTACAGATGACATGAAACGAGATGACATCTAACTAGCCTGAAGATGACTCCGGTGTTGAGTGTCAGCTCATCAGCTATCTATGCCCTTAGAAGACTCAGGGAAATCACTAACGAAGAAACCACCAAGATGGCTTACCATGGAATCTTCGCTTCACACCTGAAATTTGGCCTAATTGCATGGGGAAGTGCCAGCGAAAGCCTATTAAAAGAAATTCAAATCATTCAAAAGAAAGCAGCCAGAATCATAGACCAATCCCACTACCTTGAACACTGCAAGCCCCTTTTCATAAAACAGCAAATCCTAACCTTAACCTCCCAATACATATTTGACACCATCAATTTCATAAAACAAAATCCGCCTGAAACCAGACAAACATGCCACAACCACAACACCAGATCAAAATCAAACTATAACACCCAACAAAACAGACTAAATAAAACCAACAAAACCCCCACTGCAATGGGAGCAAAACTCTACAACCTACTTCCACAACATCTCAAAACAATAAATAACACAAAAAAATTCACTGCTGCACTAAAAAACTACCTCCTTCAAAGACCATACTACACCATCAAGGAGTTCTATGAAGACCACAACTACTACATAGGGCTACTATAAGAAGAAGTGAGAAAGTAGTAAATGACGATTCTCCAGTCTCTACGACTGCGATGAAGAGGACGTATGTAAGATGTAAGATGTAAGTGTAAACTAGTTTCCATACAAAATTAAAGATCACATACATGCGGGTATGTGGAAACACCAATTTATAGTAACAATCAATGAGTAAATTAAAAGAACCAAAAATGTTCAAAATGCTTTAAAAAATACCTGAATAACTTAAGCCATCACAGGCCCTCCAAAAAGGTGGTCAGTGCATAATACAACAAATTTTCATGTAGGCTATCGAATGGATTAAATGCCGTCGGTTTGAAAACACTATAGTGACACACACTTCACTGTTCTTGGATACGTACCTAGAGGCCTTGTCCACTAGTGCAACGAATCCACACCAGGGAGTACCTATTGCTTACACAGTGCATGCCTATAAATATCCACAATTCGTGACCTCCTAGTAGCTGGATCAAAGCACAACGCCACCGTCCCAGTCAATGTTTCATTCTTTAGTTAAGTTAGCTATGTAGCAATTTAAGTAAATAAGTCAAAATACCTTTGGCCAAGTTGTTATATTTCTTGGTTACTTAATGGGTCCAAACAAATTTATTATTAGCTGGAAGTCCACTTACCCCGGGCGTACACTTACCCCACTTAACCTTATATATTCTTTGATTCAGGGACAATCTAACTTAAGTTACTATGGAACTGTAGCGACGTAAACATATTTTTCAACATTTGTAGTAAGCCTAAAACAACCCTAACAGGTACCTACCACATGGTAACTTAGGCTTAACTTAGTGACACAAGCTCCGCTGTGTCAAATTTGTAAAATCCGAGCCCTGCTAATAAAATGATTAAGGGTTTAGGTTATGATTACAAATAACTGGAATAGAACTAGGTAAGTTAGTTCTATTCTTTGTAATTACAATATAGGCCTACCCTAGGCATGCAGAATTCTAATAGCCTAATTTAAAAGCCTTGGAAAACACTTGTTCCAAACAAGCGTAGCCTAACCTAAGCATATAATAACTAACTAAACTCTCAATAGGCAACAAGATAATGGTTGTAAATGATAAGAAAAAAGTAGTTAGTTTAACACTTACCTTACTGCTACACGAACACTTGATTCGTCATCAGCCATGGTTTTGGGTTGTTTGTTTACAACACTAAAATTGACACCGCTAACCTAACTTAAAGATGAAAGATTCTAATCATCACTTTTGTAGGCCTACTAACACGTCAGAAACAAGCGTGGTAAATCATCTTAACAATTTGAACAGTTCATTCATAGTAAGTTTAGGTTAATGCTTGTGTTATCACTTGAAGAAGTAAGCAACTGTCACAAAATCGATTACGGGCATGACAGAGAAGCTAAACAAACATTACAGCTGCAGTTCAAAACTTGTAACGATTTGGATCAAATTAAAAGTACTATTAGATCAATTAAAACAAATTAGACTTTAAAATAGATTATAAAACTATCTGTCGGAGGTTAAAAAATCTCGTAACGATTAAAACAACTCCCGCAAAAGAAATAAAACGGCGCACACACATTAAAAACGAAAGCACGTACTACGAACAGCTGAGCAACTGAATAGTTCAACAGTTCAACGGATCTCCGTTTGGCGTTCACCACACTTCAAGGTCTACGAAAAAATACATCGGAACGAGACAGCTGATCGCTCTAGCGTCAAAAAATACAAAGAGATCAATGTTGCCGACATCGTTCCACCGCTGCTCACTAGATCGCAGCACCGACTGGTCTTCCACTCTCCGACGGAGCGTAGTCGAACTCGATTTCATAATAGATGTCGCTGCTGGGTAAATACCTGAATTCATTCCAGAACAAGAAAAGTTACGGGCAGCAGAAGAGCGGCACAGACTAATGAGTGATGACCGGGTGACGCTCGACCATCTGACACCTGGCTTTGTTTATCCTCAGTCGTAGTGCAGCGAGTGTTCGGTCTCGGTCGGGTTCGGTTCAGAGTTCAGTAACGTGGGAAGTGTACTCAGTGAAGGTGGGTGCCGTCCCTATGCCACACGTAGTTCGCGTAGGGCTCTCTTCCGAGCTCGCGGTGTGAATTGACTGTGTTGTTTATCAAACGTCCGATTTCGCCCAAGAATTCACATGAACGCCAAAACAAAAGCACCGCCGGCCCCGCTGCCTGCTCTTCGGCACTCCACAGCGACTACCACCCTCCCAGACGCCCGTGCCAAACAAATACTCAAGGAAGCCGTGGACGCTGTTGTCAACAGTTTTGCTAAACATACTCAAGGATATGGCCGAGGTAAGTTTATATTTGTTTTACTTAATATTGAAACTGTCAACTGTCATTGGAGTGTAAAATTGACTGTACATAGGTTGAGAATTTATTTATGAAAATAAGTTAAATACTTTGTATAACTTTTAGGTAGGGGACTTTATTTTATAGCGACAGATTCGTGGTCCTTGATAAGCATATTTTTGCTAGAGACATTTAAGAAATCGTTTTCGCCACCTTCACTATTCTCGGGCGTTAAGGTCTCCCGAAACAGGATTTTTATTTTTCCTTGTTCTTTGGGTGTTATTATGATAACTAGACTTTACTCCACGAGATCCATCATTGAAGTGATAACAATCCGTCTTGTACTTCCACCATGATAACTATGTAGAAGAAAATTAATCGTGTTTACACAGTTTAAAGGTATGAGGTGGTATTTTGTTTGGTTCTTGATTTTGAAAAGTAGGTACTATACTTACATTGCCATTGGTGCGTTTATGTTTTTCAACCCAACAAATTATGTTTTGCGTTCCTAGTAGTTTTTCTTTATAATCCAAATAAACAAATTACCATCCAAAATGACGTCCATTTATTAAGTTACCGTAGACCTACTAGATTCATTAACTCTGAACTCCACTGTTACAAACCCCTAAGTTTAATCCACGCAATAAAACTGCAATATTACGATTAATTATAAAATTATAGCAAATTCAATTGAATTTTACCTACTAATAGCCTAGTGTTACTATGTGTTACCTCTTACAAGTATTATTAATTGTATTACAACAAATGTCCATACAAAAATTAAATTGCATCGCTTGAATTTTACGGTTTCTAGCTGAACAAAGAATAAAAAACCATTATTTACCGGTACCTACAATAACTGTGGTTTCTTATTTTTTTATTTTTAAAACATTCCAAATGTTGGCTTATTCATCAATCAGCAGTTTTACCAACTGAATGAATTCTAAAACTTGAAATATTAAAACCATTGATATCTCTTGAAGCGCCCCATTATTTAATTTATAGGGTTTCTACGTTTTCCTCGTTTTAGTTATTTCGATAATCTTTCAAAATATTCCATCTTATTTAAGGGCGGTATAAAATTCCTAACATCAATAGCGAAACCTATAAAATTGTGCTCAACATAAGCACGCATGGCAAGACGTTTAGTTTGATTGAGAACATGAACTCACAGAAGAAGGCATCTGGCTGGAATGATTCAAGAAGACTTATTCTCATCCCATTGTATTGTAAATCATCAAGCTCGATTAGGTATGACCGATAACAAGAGCCCGTTGACGTTGACTAGACGTTTTTCTCTATTTTAGGGTGCACTTTATTATTTGATTGAATTACTAAAACAAAAGCTGAAGTTTGTAATATCACAGACTAGGGACCAAAAGTTTTTGACTAGGGATTGTGATAATATAGCCTAAGTTCTGTGTGTTCGTAATCACGAAAGTAAAGAGTAGACATTACTCGAGCGTAAGCATAAATAACCCTTTAAATTAATCTTCAGCTGATCCACGAAGCTGGGTTATCTGAGAAATGGTCATTTATGAACGAATCTCCTCTCTCCAGATGGTACCACGTTCAACTCATATGCTGAACTGTCCAACTCAAACGACCACAACCGATAGAAGCAACATTGAAGCAAAATTCGTTCAACACTGTGGGGATGACGGCTCTAGCCCAAGAACCACACATGGTGTAACACTACGAACACAATACTGAGGAAATATAGCCTTTGTAGCAACATTTTAGGAATGGAAATACACTACATCACTTTTAGTGTCACCTACACTAGCAACAATATAACTTGCATCACTAGACATCAAATATTGTAGCACAAAAAAAAACAAAAAAAACACCACCATCCCCAAGAACTACTGATGCAACAATAAATCAACAACCTCATTGTAGCAACACAAACACATCAACTCAATAATTAATGTTGCAACAATGAATCAACTACAACAACCTTGTAGCAACACAACATTCCTAAGAACTACTGCTGCAACAGTGAATCAACAGCTAGGAGGATTAATGTTTAATACTCCTAGGTCAACAGCAACATTGTAGCAACAAAAACACACCCACAAACCTGTTGCACCACTGAAGCAAAGTCAATGACTGAAGTAACAAGTAACAGCAACTCGTTGCATCATTGTAGCAACACTAGCAACAGTGTTGCAAGCTCACGCATGTCACTTGAGCGGTAAGTTTACGTGTGCTAGGTCCGCCAAGTATACTCTTCTATTAGCTTTTCCATTCTTTCTTATCGCCGTATGCAGCTGCATAGGAATTACTGCATATGAGCTCGAGCGGCTTTACTGCTCTGCCTTGCCTTTTTGTAGCGCTGCAGTAATACCCAGGCGATAAGCTTGTTTGTTTAGAAGCTCAAGGGGAATTTGAGTTTAGATTTAGATTTGAGCTTGCTCGAGTCTGTTTCGTCACTGACACGTGTTAAGCATTGTAGTTTCTTTGTTTTAAAGTTAATTATTTGATTTTGTGGGTTTTGAAGACTTTTGCCTTTAACGCTTTAGATGAGTTTGAATAATGTTTTATTTATTCAATGCTACGAAAGTTTATTCGCTTAGCCTATAGGTTTTAGCATTGACTGTTGGATTCTAACGGTATTGGATAACTTTTAATATGCTTCGTTGCATAAAATTAAATGTCTTAAAAGCACAACGACTCATTTAAGTGTTCTGAAATAATATTTTATTTTGTACTGTTCCCTGTTGGTTTCTAAATGTTAAACTGTTTCTGGATATTTTTCGAGAAGGATGTATTAGGAAAGAGCATTACCGTTTCAAAATTGTGTCCCAGGTTTTCGTAGATTGAACATTAAAATGTTATCCAACTCTTTCATTAGAAGTAGTGATGTAAAATACCTGGGTATTTAAAACTCGGGGTAAATACCCTGGGTATTTACCCGGGTAAATACCCAAAATCCATAAATACCCGGGTATTTTGGGTATTTATGAAATCAATTTAAATTCGTTTATATTTACCCCTAAATATGTTATTGTTATCACTACATGATAAATTAGGATAGCCTATAACACCTTTTACAGTAACTTGAAGCTTTGATAGTACCTTTTATTTAATGATTTAGCACTTTTTTTGTAAATAATACATAAAGTTTCTTAATAAGCATGGGGTTTCGTGTCTTAAATCGAGTAACATCAGTTAAATTTAACATAATAAAAAATAGGATATTAAAAAAGGCTGTGGCTATTTCAATTTTTATCATTTTATAAATTTATAACCATATCATAAACAGGCCGGGTGTGCAGTAATAAAACAAGCCTGTGATGCTACCTTTGATTGAGAATGCTAGAAACTAAACACTCCCTATGAAATGAAATCAAGACAACACCTCATCAGAGAAATAGTGAACCTAAACCTACTTTTACTGTTATTTAATTATGATAGTTAAAATTTCTATTGTATAAATGGCTTGGAAGGCTAGACAGACCTAAGCCTGATTGACATAGGCAGAATGGCAGAATACTAAAAGTACCTAATTAAACCTTTCTGTGTTACCGCTTGGTTGGAAACAATAATATATTTGGATAAACCTACTAAAAAAATGTAACTCCTGTTTTTTGGTCTAACTTAATATAGGCTAATTTTGAAAGATTTATTGTGCTATAGATTCAAATGTTTTGTATCACAAGTTTATGAAATTAGGTTTTTTTTATTTTGATACCATTGATACCAACAAAAGATCTAGAACAAAAATATTATTAAATCCTGCCATATCCTACAGATTGAATTGTAATTATTTTCATAAGTTGTTTACCACTACTAGGTTAAATCTTCCTGCCATTCTTTCTAAATAATAATTATTACTTTACAAGTTATTTTTCTTCACTTCCAATAAAATAAATTCATTTATCTATCATAGAAATTACAAAATCATAAGGAGTCAGGACCAGTGCAACCATGCGACCAGGGTATTATGCCGATAATGCTTTATGCTCAGACCTGGGTATTTATGACGATTATACCCATAAGTAAAATGCTAGTAGTGACCATATGAAATTTTGTTTAACACATTTTATCATCATTTTACTATCCTTACAGGGTAATAATTGCAAAAAAACATCTAAATCTTCTCTAACTTTAATAAAAATTATAAATACCCAGTTTTTGGGTATTTACCCGGGCCTGGGGTAAAAACCCGGGTAAATACCCAATTTATATTTACCTACCCACTGGGTATTTACCCGACCCACATCACTAATTAGAAGGCCTATTATTTTTCAATACTAAAGATACAGATTATTGATAACATAGACTCTTAGAATAAGGATTCTATTGAAATAGAACAAGTAATTTAGAGTAACATTTAGCCGGCATTAGCGCCATTAACCCACGTAACTGAACTAGAAACAAGAATCAAAAAGGCTCCAGATTGTACGAGAGGTTTAGACTCTCCGTACATTATCATCAATAATGAAACTCAAGGAGGTTCCATCCGATTCACATAGCTTGTATTATCGATTTCTATTTGTTTCTTATTAAAAAGAAGCTTTATACAGGCCTAGCACAATATAACTATAAATCTTCATAAAAAAACCAAATCAATAATAAATCTCAATGTCGCCTGCGAGACTTTCTAAAATCAAGGTGATTTAACACGACCCTAACATCTAGTACTTACAATTACATACAGCATAAATATATTTAAAAACTCCTTCCACATAATTAACCTTTTTGCATCTTTTTGGAAATTCAACATACACTTAAGGCAACCTTCGCATTCACACAAACTTAAACACACCCGATTCTCATTAGCTCCTGCAGTGCGAAACAGCTAGCCGATGCAGGAAGTGAACAAAGAATTAGTAATTAGCGAAGGCGGTAATCCAGCGTATTTATGGTGTTGAAGATTGGATCCAGGGTCTTATCTGGAGTGTTTATGGTGATTGTGTCTTCGCGAACTCATCTACTTGGTGTGGGATCAACCGGACACAGGTCGTGACCAGGGAAATCGGCTTGGGTGTCGAGAG